CGATTACGAGATGCGGAAGCAAGCCGTTCAAACGTTCAACGAACAGAATCGTTGGAAGAAAAAGGGCATCGCCCTGGTGACAATGAGGTTCCCAATAAAATTCATAGGACAATTCAACGCGTTAGTGTCGGTCTGCCCTCGCGACGGTTCGGTTTGCGTGACGCATGGCGGAATCGAGATGGGTCAAGGTATAAATGTCAAGGTATGAAAATGTAATACAATCAAATTCTTTCATTCTACTGTTGAGTGATCGATAAGCTGGCGGACAAATGAAAATTAATTAGAAAAAAATCCATTTCGATAAAATTAATATTTAGATATTTTGAAAATTAAGACTGGAATTATGGAATTTGCTATTTCCAAGACTTTTTGCATGTTTCTTCCTATTCTGGATATATATTTTTTATATTTTAAATAAAAATTGATTATTGTGTAGACTGATTTAAATTGAAAGAAATTTCTATTTAATAAAAATAAAAGGCTACATAGTTCTAATTATTTAAAATTAATTCTTGTATTAGATCGCTCAAATAGCAGCACGTACATTGAAGATCGATCTCGAATTAATCTCCGTTAAACCAAGCAATACTTTAGCAACACCGAACAATGCAGTTACAGGAGGCAGCATTACTACCGAATCCTGCGGTTACGTAAGAATTAAATTCAATTCGCCTTTAATACTTCAAAAAACTGTATATTATATACAGAACATCAAATTTAATAATCGAATTGCGTTTATTATAGGCAACGGTCCAAGCTTGCAATGAAATTTTAAAGAGACTCGAACCGATAAGAAAAGAAATGAATAATCCGAGTTGGAAAGAACTTGTTTTTAAGGCGTATCAACAGGACATTGATTTATGCGCACGTTACATGTAAATGTCGTATTTGGCGTACTAATTATAGATATAATATATGAAAAATCGTTATAAAGCATTTCAATATGTTTCCAAAGATATTGTACTTTTACTTTGTAAAAAAATTGTTATCTTTTGTTTTTAATAAGTAGATGATAAAAAATAAAATTTAAATATTCCATTCGCATTTCTCATAATTAAACATATTTAACACATGCTTTTGGTACGATTTCGATATAAAAATATAGATTAAAATTGTTTACTTCTTAAAATAGTACGAGACAATTTTTGATTAGTATACAAGTCATCAATTATTATATATTACACTTACCTTGGCAGGAAGGATACGAAGAATCTGGAGTCTTATGGCGTTTACGGCGTCACTATCGCCGAAGTGGAGATCGATGTGTTGACCGGCCAGCACCTCATCAGAAGAGTTGATTTGATGGAAGACGCGGGTGTCGCCTTGAATCAGGACATCGATGTTGGTCAGGTGGAGGGAGCTTTCGTGATGGGAATAGGATACTGGACTTCTGAGGATCTGGTATACGACCCTAAAACAGGAGTATTAACGAATGATCGAACATGGGTATGTTTTCATCAAATTTGGGTCAAGCTAATATTGCTTAAATGCAACTGCTCCAATTCCGAGATATCCTAGAAACCTGTAAGTAATTAAATTATCTAAAATATATTCTATTTTTCTCATAGAATTATAAACCGCCAGGAGCAAAGGATATTCCTGAAGATTTCCGCGTGTCTTTACGCAAAAATTCGCAAAACCCAGTTGGTCTATTTGGTTCAAAAGGTAAGATCGAAAATCCTATGAAGCCTTTCATTCGATTCATACTTATGTTTAATTGAAGAAATTTTGTCAATTTTCTTGCAAAAATTTCCTATAAATGTTTAATAAGGTTACAAAGTTTACGTTTTATTAAATCATAATTCAATTTAAATAAGTTAAATAAAATTAAAAAGAAATTTAATAAAAATAAAAAAAGAATCTGTCTAGCATAAGAGCTATCAAATTTGAAAGAATTGAAAGATCAATTGTTGATTAATCGTGAAAATTTTTACGCAGCTACCGGTGAACCAGCGATTTGTATGAGTTGCGTAATTAAGTTCGCTATTCGCAATGCGTTGGATTCTGCTAGGGCGGAAGCGGGAAATACGGATGAATGGTATCGAATGGGTAAGTGTTAAGCAAAAATATGTAAAACATACTTGCCAATGTATACAATATGAATCACCTAATTTTGTGGCCTCAATTAACTTCTAAATTTCGGAATAAGTGCCAATCATAGTTGTTATCATACTTCGAGTAGTACTAAAAAAAATAGTAAAAAAGAATTGTAGAATTAAAAAAATTATTTTAATTAATAAATTATTTTAATTCCACAATTTGGTTTTACTATTTCTTTGAAATTATAATACGAAGTCTGTATTGTCTCAATTGATATTATGTTACGCAATGTATTATTCAAAGCCAGACAACAAACATACATTTAATTATTTTTGTTTGTAGTAGAAAAGTTACAAATGTTATACCACATAGAATTAGGTAACTCAGAGATTCTTTAAAAATTTCTTTTTTAAAAATTAATGTGCAAATTCTCCTATAAATTATTATTATAATGTATATTCATTTACGATTTATAATTTTTTCAGATGCACCATATACCAACGAACGTATACTTTTAAACAGTTTAACCAACAAGGATAACATGGTGCTTTAAAACGAAAAATAAGATTCATTTACGAATGATCAGATGTTTACAATAATGTATTGTAGTACTCATTGTAGTACTTATTTGTTTTTTGATCGCTTCCTAACTGAAATAATAAATTTAGAGATCGGAAGATAATTTATCTATACGTTTTGCTAACACAAAAGGTTTCGAGGATAATAATGGAATCATGATAATTCGAATTAATTAACAGGCTCTTAACATAACTAATGTACAACTTCTGTTTTTATGGTAAATAATTTCAATAAATATTCTCTATTAAATGCCACTAATATGCTACATAGTAAATATTACAACAACATATCTGCAGTGTGTAATTGACATTAATGATAATATAATATAAAGTATATCACAAATAATATTCGTAAATAATAATTCAATATAAGTATATATTATCTCTCGAGAGAGAGAATCTACAGCAACGATTATTACCATTACATACGCAGACATCAAACGTTAAACATTGTTTGACATCGTTTGACATTATTTGCAACTTAAGGGTGGATGAGGAAGGATGGTATAAAAACGAAAACAGAACGAAACGAGATTATGGCATGCTAGAAGTTTGATTCGCAAAAATTAATCGACGTACCGTGCCTTGCCGCGAGATAGGAGGAAAAACGCTTCTCTGGAATGTGTACTTTCCGCAACGCCATTCTCAAGACGTCCCGTTTCACACGACATAACGTTACCTTATGCTATTCGCGTTGCGCGCTTCACGCAATAAGTACAAAACATGACAAACTTAACTTTGGCGCGCGCGGCCTCAATAATTAAAAACTCCCGGAGCGCGTATAACGAATACACCGAGCTTTCAAGCGTAAATAACGAATATCGGAAAACCGATGTAATCTGGGAGAGACCGAGTCGCAATGCTGCAACGTGGAACGTATCTCATTACGTTCCTCTAAAACGAGTAAAGATGGGGATCATCCTCAGACGACCATCCGCAGCATCCGATATCTGAATTTTCCGGGATTAGATCGGTTTTTTTCTCTACGATAAATAAATTCCACGTAGCGAGAGCCTGCACTTCTCGATCTTTATCGCTGCCCTCTGCCGAGTTTTCCCTCGATAACACGCCACGTAGGGAGTGAGTAAGCGGAATAAGACTCTTCAAGTTGAACCCCTCCAACGCTTTCGGAAGCAAAACCGTCTCTCCTCGCATATATGCCTCTCTAAATCCGATAAATCGGTCGCGAATTATATACCTTAAACGTTGGGTATATTATAGAAAGTAGAGCAGTTCCTTTCATTTCATTGTTTTGAACGCAGGATAAGGATATATTTCGTGCTTGCTCCTGATCATTATCAAGCACATGTTTGCGTGTGTTCGAACGTGAAAGCAGGCAACCGCATATGACGACTACAGTCGTCCAATTCGGACGAGATAATAGCGAAGCAAAATGCCTCAATATGTTTTAATCCCGAAGAAACGTTCTTTTTTTCTCCTAAATTAGTCCACTTGTGGAACAATTATATTACAAAAAAACCAATATTGCATTAGAAACAATACTACAACAATCAACAAAATTGCATCTTTGTTATTTACTCGATTTTTATAGAATCATAGGATGACATTTCAAATCTTGCAACGAATATGAATTTGGAATAATTATTGGAATAGATTATTATTTCCCAAATCCAGAATCTAATTAAATACAGTCTTATTCTTATTGCATAATTTTTTGCAAAAAGAAATTCATGAGTAATGTAAACATGAGCGTGAGTAATGTATATGCATGGAAAGGGAAAAGTGGACGCTTGTTCCGTTCTCTAAAATTTTAGCAATAAGAAACAATTAAATTATGAAAATTATTTAATTGTCATACACTGGCGAAAAAAAAGAAGTTAAAAAATGCGATATTGAGAAAGTTCGATAAAAATCCTCGACGACTGATTTTAACATAAGTATTTTAATAAGTTTTGTGCAATAAATGTTTGCTTCCCTTCAACTTCAACTTCAACAATAAAATGGCACGGGGCTTGTAGAGAGCCGATACGGCTAGTGTCACAATCAAATGTAGCCCGTAGGCATGTAATCAAAATCTTTAAGTGTAATCGAAAAAATATAGGCAACAGGTATGTTCATCAAGTTGGTCGATGAGCACAAAGCGGCATGCAAGTCCGCTCTAGAACCGTTCAAAGAATTTTGTGCACTACTCGGATCGAAGCGGAACATGTCCGTCCCGACCGAGTCGTCTAGCAAGTCTTTGCCTCCCCTCTCTCTGACTGGAAGCCTGAGTACGATTATAAGTACAACTGTTTCTCCACATTAGAACTAGTTAAACTTCTTGAAGTACAGTAAATTGTAATTTTACAACGTCGACACGGCTTACGAGTGAAAATGGAAACAGCAGTAGTGTAAGTCTTTGATAAGTATAGTGTGCGAAAATTATTACAACGTAAGTATGGCAAATAAAGCCAAATTTCTTTTCGAATTTAACTATTTACTATTCGTATTGTATATTGTTTAGTATAAAAATAAAAAAATTTTAGAATATTTAACCTACTTTTCCATACTTAACGTTACTGATAACGTTAAAATGCAATCCAATTATCATTCTAATTTGTATTTAGTCCAGAAGAATTTAAAC